AAATTTATAGAAACGACTAACAGATTCAGTAGCTAGCATATTATTGTTTCCAAACTGTTAATCATTATTATTGTTAAATCTATATACAACACTAACATGTATAATATTAGCATATGTATTAGATGCACACTGTCTTCACTTTCCAGCACATTGTACATATCCTTCATATGAGCACTGTATATAAATTTATATTGCGCAATATGTTTCCACAATGTGATGCTTCAACTATAAATTGTTAATTTTCATTATGCAATATTATGTATAACTGTATATAGGGAGAAGGTGGTAATAAGTGCTGCACTTGTGCCAAATCCCTTTGTCTTTTTGGACAATACAATATGCTTAATAATAATAATGATAAGCAACCAATGTATTATGATCAGGGTCCATTGGTATCCCTTCAGCAAGTGCAAATCAGGTCCTAACACATCTGTTTTGTCATGTTTCACGCGCTATACAGTCGAACCTCGCTTATCCGGACAATTGCTTTTTCTAAAATGTTGTCCGGATAAACGAGTTTCTGGATATCTGAATACCTTGTTATCTGACCAGATGTCGTTCCCCTACCTCAATTCTACCGAGGCATATGTGAAATAAATTGCCAAAATATGATTTATGAAGGATCGACCAATTACTAATTAAATACATTGTGCTGTACAGACCTACGCAGCATGCTGTGACAGCGCACTGCATTATTGAAACGGCTGAAGAAATGCATATGTAGCCTTGTTTAGACGAGGCATTTGCTTTGTGTACAGATACGACGGCGAGGTTGGGGCAACCTGACACACATGAGCATTAATAGCCATGTTTACCTGTACTAGTTGAGAGCCAAGGTTGAAGTCATTCATGTGTGAAAAATGTTGTCGAGGCATCTGTAAACGGCTAAAGAAATGCAAATGTAGCCTAGTTTAGACTATGCACTTGCTTTGTGTACAGATGTGACGGCGAGGTAAGGGCAACCTGACACACATGAGCATTAATAGCCATGTTTACCTGTACTTGTAGTTGACTTCCAAAAATGCTGTCGAGGCATCTGTAATCTTCTTTGTCGAATTGCATTATTAAAGTACATCAAGATGAGACATCATATACATTCATATATATTTGTTGAGAACGAAACCTTGAAGTGTAGCCATGACATTTCCTCGAAACTATGGGCGGCCATGTAGCTTCAATATCTTATAAATTATATCACTGAACATAGGTCACGGTGTATTCAGTAAACAAAGATCTGAAGGGCTGTATTTCCTTCATCGAACACACTATGCGTTCATCACAGTTTGTGACGGATTACGGATACGAACGAACTAGCACTTGTTTGGCAGGTAGGTTTTGTTAAGATTTGTTATCTTGTTCTCACTCTACCCTCTACTTCCTTAATCACAATTCAAATCCTAAATAGACTTTCGGGCCTAACACTGTGGCAATTTTAGACCCTCTGTTTCTGTATTTACTTGAGCTCATTTCCCTAAGGTTTACACAACTAATAAGACTAAGTCATCAATGATATCAAAGCTGTCTGACATGTTTCTTATGAACAGTTTATGAAGCTAAACAATGTCCATGTGACTTAAGCACAAAAATACGCGAACACTTCTGACATAGAATTTCTTAAGAAAATACAGTAAAAATGCTTGACTTTGAGCACCTTGTTTTCTTTAAATACGATGTACCGTGACATTATAAAGTGGCATATAGGTAGATATAACACTAATCTATAGACGTACACACATTTGAAGATACATCTGTGTGTTTGAAGTTGATTTTGACCGCCCGGGCCAAGTCGGACCCAACACAAGCCAAACACTTCTGATAGAGACTATGTTGAGAATGTAAAGGGAAAAGGGCTCACTTTGAGCACCTTGTTTTCTTTAAGTACATCGATCTGAGACACTATAAAGTGGTATTTAGGTAGATATAATACTAATCTAAAGATGTGAATCCATTTGATGATACATCTGTGAAGTTTAAGTTGATTTTGACAGCCCGGGCCAAGTCGGACCGAACGCTTCTGACAGAGATTTTCTTAAGAAAATACAGTAAAAATACTTGATTTGAGCACCTTGTTTTCTTTAAATACGATGTACCGTGACATAATAAAGTGGTATTTAGGTAGATATAATACTAATCTAAACATATGAATCCATTTGATGATACATCTGTGAGTTTAAAGTAGATTTTGACCGCCCGGGCCAAGTCGGACCCAACACAAGACAAACACTTCTGATAGAGACTATGTTGAGAATGTAGAGGGAAAAGGGCTTCACTTTGAGCCCCTTCTTTTCTTTAACTACATCGATCGAAGACACTATAAAGTGGTATTTAGGTAGATATAATACTAATCTTAAGATGTGAATCCATTTGATGATACATCTGTGAGGTTTAAGTTGATTTTGACAGCCCGGGCCAAGTCGGACCCAACACAAGACAAACACTTCTGATAGAGACTATGTTGAGAATGTAGAGGGAAAAGGGCTTCACTTTGAGCACCTCGTTTTCTTTAAATACGATGTAACGTGACATAATAAAGTGGTATTTAGGTAGATATAATACTAATCTAAAGATGTTAATCCATTTGATGATACATCTGTGAAATTTAAGTTGATTTTGACAGCCCTGGCCAAGTCGGACCGAACGCTTCTGACATAGATTTTCTTAAGAAAATACAGTAAAAATACTTGATTTGAGCACCTTGTTTTATTTCAAATACGATGTACCGTGACATAATACAGTGGTATTTAGGTAGATATAATACTAATCTAAAGATGTTAATCCATTTGATGATACATCTGTGAAATTTAAGTTGATTTTGACAGCCCTGGCCAAGTCGGACCGAACACTTCTGACATAGATTTTCTTAAGAAAATACAGTAAAAATGCTTGACTTTGAGTCCTTGTTTTCTTTAAATACGATGTACCGTGACATTATAAAGTGGTATATAGGTAGATATAACACGATTCTAAAGATGTTAATACATTTGAAGATACATCTGTCTGTTTAAATGTGATTTTGACCGCCCGGGCCAAGTCGGACCCCACACAAGCCAAACACTTCTGATAGAGACTATGTTGAGAATGTAGAGGGAAAAGGGTTTCACTTTGAGCACCTTGTTTTTCTTTAAATATGATGTACCGTGACATAGTAAAGTGGTAGTTAGGTAGATATAATACTAATCTGAACATATGAATCCATCTGATGATACATCTGTGAGGTTTAAGTTGATGTTGACAGCCCAGGCAAAGTCGGACAAAACACTTCTGACACTTCTAAAGAAAATACAGAAAAAATGCTTCACTTTGAGCACCTTGTTTTCTTTAAGTACAGCGATCTGAGACACTATAAAGTGGTATTTAGGTAGATATTATACTAGTTTATAGATGTGAATCCATTTGATGATACATATGTGAGTTTAAAGTCGATTTTGACAGCCCGGGCCAAGTCGGACCGAACACTTGTGTGACTGTTGAGAGTATAGGGAGAAGAGGTCTACTTTAACCAACGTATCTGCTTTAAATACGACGATCAGTGACATTATAAAGTGGTATTTACTTATATATAGAACGTTCCTATAAATATAAACACTATGCGCACAGATGGAACGTTGTATCACGATAGCTAGAAGTATTTGATACGTTTCAAATCTTATTTCGTTTAACGATTGCTCTTCTACATGTTACCAAGATCAGCGACTGCTTACACACTGCTCCACTTTCTGGTTTTCAAGCGATTTACTCCGAATTACTTATTGGTGCACTTGTTTGTTTGGTGATTGTTCATTAATGACATGTGTGTATGTTGCATCAATTATATGTAGGTATGATCGCCGATAATGAAGTAATTAGCCAGTAACACTTTGGCCCGTCTTGGCCCGGCCCGGCCCGACTTTTAGGCAATGCCGATGCAGGTACATCAGGGATAGAATTTACAAGAACATCTACAAGCCCGATTTAATATTAATAAAACTGGTCCCGGCTAGCAGGCTACTGCTAACTGCCATCCCAGTACAGTGGTATGAATAAATGACATTGCGTATTTCACAATCAACAAAGTATATTCTCTATCGCAGTCAACCAACTTTAATTGGCCTTGAGTTTGACCCAGGAAGAGAGGTGTGACGTGATTGCGAAGAACCAGCATCCCTGTACACGACAGCAGTGCCACGACGGAGCACGTGAAGAGGGGCCTTGTGACGATGACTGAAGCCTCCCCACACCATGACGCTTCCTCCTCCCCGCGGGTTGACGTGGACCTTGAGCGGCTGCATCTGTCTCTGTTGCTCTTGACTGTCGGTCACGCAAATGTGTCACCCGGATGTAACGGTCCTACACTGGAGTAGTGACCCTTGGCCGCCCAGATTGAGGCCGCTCTTGGATACTGCCTGCTTTGCGAACTTTCTGATGATAGTAGTCACATTTCATCCAAACTCCCTCGCCATCGCATTTCACATTAGTCTGGTCTGTAGTATCTCAATGGCATTGGGTATACAGTTCTTTTCACAAATTATTTTGTTCATATCACAAACAAAGAAACCTGACGTGCGTTTTATTGGTGGTGAAGTATATACTGCTGCTGCCAAATATTTCACTCATTGTGCCTTTAATGATTGTAAACTTAAACAGATGTGTTTCGATGTAATTTAATTGTTCATTGATCTTAAGCGGTTATTTCCTGAATTCACAATTTTTGTACAAATCGTGGGTTAACTTTCGCGTTTCAACTGGGGACAGTGTAGATATTATAATAAACCACGTTTACTATTTTCTATGACTAGCTTTCAACTAAGGGGCCATAATTTATAACAATGTGGACTAGTCAATGTAGTACATTGTTTGAGTAGGTCATTGCAAGTGTATTTAGTCTGTTGAGGCGGTTTGTACATTAGTGACAACCAGTTGAACGTGATAGGGGTCGAAATGGACCCAGAAATGGACAAGAACGTGTACCGAGCAGTCATCAAGTTTTTGACTTTAGAGGAAAAGTACCCTCCAAGAAATTCATGACCGCATGTCACGAGTGTTTGGGTTTTGTGCCCCAGCTATTCCTCACAACATGCAAACAGTGAGTGTTCCATACAAATACTCGACAGATTGAAATAGAATAGTCACAGTGTCACACCCTAAAGGGGTCAGTAGAGTAGACAGTAGACGTAGCTAAGGCAAAGAAGTGTACTATAAACACTACCCACAACTCCTCCCAAACACAGGAGAGACTGCGTCAGTGTTGACATGAAAGGAACTTACATTGAAGGCGTGGGCTCGACAGCCTTTGTATTTCGGTGAGACTGTAGATGTCACGTGACGTCAACCAGGAAGCAAGACCGGGTAGTGTTGTCTCGAGGTGTTACACATACAGGTAAAGTAATCTGACGTACATTTACATCAACGATTGTATATTAATTAAGTGTTTGAGGGACATTTACATACTTGTGTTCACCTAGATGCAGCTCATTTAGTCCACAGGTCACTTAAGCCAGGTAGAACTGATGAACGCTGGTGTTTATAAATCAAAACTTGAGGTCCTAATGCCGTTCCATGGTTATCTCCCTTGTTGTTCGTCTCACAGCAACAACGGAGCTTTCTTTTGATTACACACAACCATGTGTTTCCATAGTAACGTTATATATTGTTTTAAAAATAACTAGGCATTCAACAACTATTACATGTACACGTGTGCACAGTCTGGCCTTAGGGCAGCAATAAAAGCAAAGGAATTGACTTGCTCAGCCAGCTCCTTTTCCGAGTTCCGGAAGCTAAAAACCCCATCCCCCCCCCCCCCCCCCCCCCCCCCCCCACCTCCTTCCGCACCAAATGTCACTTGCTTGAAAATATTTGTGGTCACATTCAGCATAAGTCAACATAAGTCAGCATAAGTCAACATAAGTCAGCATGTAGGCTTATTATGGTATGGCATTCCCATATTTGGTAGGTGGGCACCTAAGTGTGTGTGGAGTGAGTGAGTGCCATCTTAGTGTTGGTGGAGTGAGTGCCATCTTAGTGTGGGTGGAGTGAGTGATATCTTACTGTTGGTGGAGTGAGTGATTGACACCTTTGTGTGGATGGAGTGAGTGAGTGACATCTTACTGTTGGTGGAGTGAGTGACATCTTAGTGTTAGTGGAGTGAGTGAGTGACATCTTAGTGTTGGTGTAGTGCGTGACATCTTAGTGTTGGTGGAGTGAGTGCGTAAGATCTTAGTGTCGGTGGAGTCAGTGAGTGGCATGTTAGTGTGGGTTGAGTGCGTGAGTGACATCTCCGTGTGGATGGAGTGATTGACATCTTAGTGTGGTTGGAGTGAGTGAGTGACAAAATTAGTGTGTGTGGAGTGGGTGGATTACTGCTTAGTTTGGATGGAGTGAGTGAGTGACATCATAGTGTGGGTGGAGTGAGTGACATCATAGTGTTGGTGGAGTGAGTGATTGACATTTTTGTGTTGGTGGAGTGCGTGACATCTTAGTGTTGGTGGAAGGAGTGATATCGTACTTTTGGTGGAGTGAGTGATTTCTTACTATTGGTGGAGTGAGTGAGTAACATCTTGGTGTGGATGGAGTGAGTGAGTTACACCTTAGTGTTGGTGGAGTTAGTGAGTGACATCTTAGAGTTGGTGGAGTGAGTGACACCTTAGTGTGGATGGAGTGAGTGAGTGACATCTTAGTGTTGGTGGAGTGAGTGAGTGACATCTTAGTGTTGGTGATGTGCGTGTCATCTAAGTGTGGTTTGAGGGTGGAGTGAGTGCGTGACATCTTAATTTTGGTGGAGTGAGTGATTTCTTACGTTTGATGGAGTTAGTGAGTGACATCTTAGTGTTGGTGAAGTGCGTGAAATGTTAGTGTTGGTGGAGTGAGTGACATCTTAGTGTTGGTGAAGTGCGTGAAATGTTAGTGTTGGTGGAGTGAGTGAGTGACATCTTAGTGTGGATGGAGTGAGTGAGTGACATCTTAGAGTGGATGGAGTGAGTGAGTGACATCTTAGTGTTGGTGGAGTTAGTGAGTGACATCTTAGTGTGGGTGAAGTGAGTGAGTGACATCTTCGTGTTGGTGGAGTGAGTGAGTGACATCTTCGTGTTGGTGGAGTGCGTCATGTCGTACTTTTGGTGGAGTGAGTGATTTCGTACTGTTGGTGGAGTGAGTGAGTGAAAGCTTAGTGTGGGTGAAGTGAGTGAGTGACATCTTCGTGTTGGTGGAGTGATTGGGTGACATCTTAGTGTTGGTGGAGTGCGTCATATCGTACTGTTGGTGGAGTGAGTGATTTCGTACTGTTGGTGGAGGGAGTGAGTGAAAGCTTAGTGTGGGTGGAGTGAGTGAGTGACATCTTTGTGTGGGTGGAGTGAGTGAGTGGCATTTTAGTGCGGGTGGTGTGAGTGGATGACACCTTAGTGTTGGTTGAGTGAGTGAGTGATATCTTAGTGTTGGTGGAGTGAGTGAGTGACACCTTAGTGTTGGTGGAGTGAGTGAGTGAAAGCTTAGTGTTGATGGAGTGAGTGAGTGGCATCTTTGTGTGGGTGGAGTGAGTGAGTGGCATTTTAGTGCGGGTGGTGTGAGTGGATGACACCTTAGTGTTGGTTGAGTGAGTGAGTGACATCTTAGTGTTGGTGGAGTGAGTGAGTGACATCTTTGTGTGGGTGGAGTGAGTGAGTGGCATTTTAGTGTTGGTGGAGTGAGTGACATCGTAGCGTTGGTGGAGTGAGTGAGTGACACCTTAGTGTTGGTTGAGTGAGTGACATCTTAGTGTTGATGGAGTGAGTGACATCTTAGTCTGGATGGAGTGAGTGACATCTTAGTGTGGATGGAGTGAGTGGGTGATATCTAACTGTTTGTGGAGTGAGTGCGTGACATTTTAGTGTGGGTGGAGTGAGTGAGTGACATCTTATTGTTGGTGGAGTGAGTGAGTGACATCTTAGTGTGGGTGGAGTGAGTGAGTGACATCTTAGTGTGGGTGGAGTGAGTGAGTGACATCTTAGTGTTGTTGGAGTGAGTGAGTAACATCTTAGTGTGGGTGAAGTGAGGGAGTGACATCTTAGTGTGGGTGGAGTGAGGGAGTGACACCTTAGTGTGGGTGGAGTGAGTGACATCTTAGTGTTGGTGGAGTGAATGACATCTTAGTGTAGGTGGAGTGAATGAGTGACATCATAGTGTTGGTGGAGTAAGTGAGTGACATTTTTGTCTTGGTGGAGTGCATGACATCTTAGTGTTGGTGGAAGAAGTGATATCGTACTGTTGGTGGAGAGGGTGATTTCTTACAGTTGGTGGAGTGAGTGAGTAACATCTTAGTGTTGGTGGAGTTAGTGAGTGACATCTTAATTTTGGTGGAGTGAGTGATTGACATCTTAGAGTTGGTGAAGTTAGTGAGTGACATCTTAGAGTTGATAGAGTGCGTGACATCTTACTGTTGGTGGAGTGAGTGAGTGACACCTTAGTGTGGATGGAGTGAGTGAGTGACATCGTAGTGTTGGTGGAGTGAGTGAGTGACATCTTAGTGTTGGTGATGTGCGTGACATCTTAGTGTGGTTGGAGGGTGGAGTGAGAGCGTGACAACTTAGTGTTGGTGGAGTGAGTGAGTGACATCTTAGTGTGGATGGAGTGAGTGAGTGACACCTTATTGTGGATGGAGTGAGTGAGTGACATCTAAGTGTTGGTGGAGTTAGTGTGTGACATCTTATTGTTAGTTGAGTGCTTGACATCTTACTATTGGTGGAGTGATTGATTTCTTACTGTTGGTGGAGTGAGTGAGTGACAATTTAGTGTGGATGGAGTGAGTGAGTGACATCTTAGTGTGGGTGGAGTGAGTGAGTGACATCTTAGTGTTGGTGGTGTGCGTGACATCTTAGTATGGTTGGAGTGTGGAGTGAGTGCGTGACATCTTAGTGTTGGTGGAGTGAGTGATATCTGACTGTTGGTGGAGTGAGTGAGTGACACCATAGTGTGGGTAGAGTGAGTGACATCTTAGTGTGGGTGAAGTGAGTGAGTGACATCTTAGTGTGGGTGAAGTGAGTGAGTGACATCTTCGTGTTGGTGGAGTGAGTGAGTGACATCTTCGTGCTGGTGGAGTGCGTCATATCGTACTGTTGGTGGAGTGAGTGATTTCGTACTGTTGGTGGAGTGAGTGAGTGAAAGCTTATTGTGGGTGGAGTGAGTGATTGACATCTTTGTGTGGGTGGAGTGAGTGAGTCGCATTTTAGTGCGGGTGGAGTGATTGGGTGACATCTTTGTGTGGATGGAGTGAGTGTGTCGCATTTTAGTGTCGGTTGTGTGAGTGATTGACACCTTAGTGTTGGTGGTGTGAGTGGATGACACCTTAGTATTGGTGGAGTGAGTGAGTGACATCTTAGTGTTGGTGATGTGCGTGACATCTAAGTGTGGTTTGAGGGTGGAGTGAGTGCGTGACATCTTAATTTTGGTGGAGTGAGTGATTTCTTACGTTTGATGGAGTTAGTGAGTGACATCTTAGTGTTGGTGAAGTGCGTGAAATGTTAGTGTTGGTGGAGTGAGTGATTTCTTACTGTTGGTGGAGTGAGTGAGTGACATCTTAGTGTGGATGGAGTGAGTGAGTGACACCTTAGAGTGGATGGAGTGAGTGAGTGACATCTTAGTGTTGGTGGAGTTAGTGAGTGACATCTTAGTGTTGGTGGAGTGCGTGACATCTTACTATTGGTGGAGTGAGAGATTTCTTACTGTTGGTGGAGTGAGTGAGTGACACTTTAGTGTGGATTGAGTGAGTGAGAGACATCTTAGTGTTGGTGGAGTGAGTGAGTGACATCTTAGTGTTGGTGGTGTGCCTGACATCTTAATGTGGTTGGAGGGTGGAGTGAGTGCGTGACATCTTAGTGTTGGTGGAGTGAGTGATATCTGACTGTTGGTGGAGTGAATAAGTGACACCATATTGTGGGTAGAGTGAGTGACATCTTAGTGTGGGTGAAGTGAGTGAGTGACATCTTAGTGTGGGTGAAGTGAGTGAGTGACATCTTCGTGTTGGTAGAGTGAGTGAGTGACATCTTCGTGTTGGTGGAGTGCGTCATGTCGAACTGTTGGTGGAGTGAGTGATTTCGTACTGTTGGTGGAGTGAGTGAGTGAAAGCTTATTGTGGGTGGAGTGAGTGAGTGACATCTTTGTGTGGGTGGAGTGAGTGAGTGGCATTTTAGTGCGGGTGGTGTGAGTGGATGACACCTTAGTTTTGGTTGAGTGAGTGAGTGACATCTTAGTGTTGGTGGAGTGAGTGAGTGACATCATAGTGTGGGTGGAGTGAGTGACATCATAGTGTTGGTGGAGTGAGTGAGTGACATTTTTGTGTTGGTGGAGTGCGTGACATCTTAGTGTTGGTGGAAGGAGTGATATCGTACTTTTGGTGGAGTGAGTGATTTC